ATGTCCAGTCAAATAGGATATTTCCATAAGGTAATTACAATGAAATAAAGGCAATGGAGATCCTCCCACACCCATTCATACCATGCCATATCCCAGAGAAAATCATCAGTGCAAACACACAAAGGCACAGCAGTCACAAGAGGCATTCTGGAGCTGAAGCCTTCAGGACCTTGTGTATCTGATATTCACCATCAGAGCTGTGCATTTTGGTGAGCCAATCTACTGAATCCCAACTGCCACCAGCTCGTCTGACATGACCCCCAGCATAAAGTAATGTCTCTATATTTCACTCAAAAATATTATAAATCATTGTGGATAAACTTTGTTTCATTTCCCCATTCTTACAACACTACTGTATTCTAAATACCTTGCCTTTGCCGTCTTAGTTTCAGTTTGTCCTCTATATATTACTTTTGAATGGAAGGTTTTCTGCCAGAAATAATTCTATTATTTTGATAATTACCTTGATATATATTTAAGTAATAATTACACGTTCAACTTTCAAACACATTTCAACATCAAGGTGTAGTTGTTTTTTTTCTCTTTGGAGGCCTACCACCCAGCTTCCAAATATATAAAAATAATACACAGAGACTTATTTTTACTTTTGAATGAACGGCCTTAGCTTGGCTTGATTCTTTCAAGCTTTTCTAACTTAAATTTTCCTGTCTCCCTATAAGTAGATTTTGCATCTAGGCTTTATACATTCTTAATTCTGTTACAGTATTTCCTGCCTGGTTCCACAATCACCTTGACACGAATGAACAGATAGATGCTCTGATAATTATGAAACTGTTGGCAGTTCGCTTGGGCTTTTATTTGCTAGCTCTGTCTTAATTATTATCCCATTTCTATTTAGATATGTATTTCCATATGGTCTTATCTCACAAGAGAATGCCTCACTTGCATTCTTTCTTCCCTGGACTCACATGATTACTCCTCTCTGTCTAACTTTCCCACAATTCTCCTCGTCATCTAGACTCACCTATCATGCTGCCCTATTGGTCAGCAATGCTTTATTCTTCAACCAGTAAGGTAAATTTATGCGAAAGGAAATCCCCATCATTATTCTATATGTCTTTCTTTCCTACTTACTCCATACCTGAGTCAGTGACTGACTGCCTGACCCCTCTTCTACCCCCATTTTTCTTGCTGCTCTTATTTATTATCTCTGACCTCCAGCCTTGAGTATTTCTTACTCCAGGCAAGCTGTGATTTGTGCAGGTATTTATTGGACCAATTAGGTGATTTAGGCATGAAAATAACACAGATTTACAGAGTTAAACAAATGAAATGTAAAAGAATTCTGAACAAGCAGGACCTCTTGATCTCCAGATTGATGGCTGTGTAGAAAGTATGGGACTAACACAAACCCCCTGCATGTGGGTGTCAGTGAGGAGGCCTAGGTAATCTATGGGGCCTATGGGGCCTTGGGTAGTATTTAACCCTGATCTCCAACATGGAGGACCTCACCCTCCTCGGTAATCCGAGTAGAGATTGGGTGGGTGACTCGGGGACCTGGTGGGGAGGGTTAGAGAAGAGGGGAGGGAGAGGGAGCTGGGATTGACATATGAAACAAGATTGTTTCTAACCTAAATAAAAAAGAATGAAATGCATCTTTGTATCACTAAACAAATATTCTACACTTTAAACAAATGTAACACATCTCATACTAACAGTACAGAGCCGTGAGGGGTAATACTTTGTGGCAGTATCATGTAAGCATGACTGGCTATTGACAAATTCATTCTTATACAACCACAGACTGCAAATGTTTGACTTCTGTGGGTGAATGTTCAGTGGTTGCCTTAAAATTCAGTTATTACAGAGCAACATAATTTCTAAGGTTTATGCAAAAAAATCAGTGCAATACAGGCAATTGCTCAAAAATATTTAAAACCCAGAGAGTCAAACAACCTGCATCTTCCGATCCCAAAGTTTCTGTAAACTCCAAATCACTCCACAATGTGAGAGGAATAAACAATATCCTTTATACTTTATCTAATGGACTTCAATTGAAAAATAGAGCTCTCAGCCAGATTCTATAGCAATGATCATCCTGGCTGACTTTCTATTCTTTTTATATCCAGGGACATCCTATTCTCTACTACAACCATTTCTTTTCTATCTCTTATTCTGCCTCTGTGGACATCTACACAAATGATCCTGAGGGTAAGAAGATTTTCAAGCACCGATAAAACCCTAGATTTTCTATACTGCTAATGGAAAGATATTGGCTGTTCATTCTCCTTGCCCAGGCAGGCCATAGAAGTTAGCTTCCCCCACTGGAGAGATGCCCCACTGCACAGAGCAAGTGATAAGCTCACATGTCAGAGGCCACTAGGAATTTACAACATATGATGACTAATATTCAGCAGGTTGACCATCCAACTGAATAGAACTCTGGTGGATCAAACTCTCTAGTCAAAGATCATGGGGTTACTGGCTGTGGATACTGTTTCTTTCCATCTGAAATTTCTCATGTGATGCAACACTTCTTTGCTCTAAAGGACAGATATCTGGTTCTTTCCACAGCCCATTAGCTGTGTGTTTTATTCTCTCTGAGCACACATATGTCTGTGGATATTCATCTTAATAATTTCTTCTAAATTTTACAATTTTGATAAGTAGACATAATACTAGGATATTTTTTCATTGCTCAGACGGACATAGGAAAGTAACTGTATTCTCAGCTGTAAAGACATTCTATGTGACTATCAATGAAAGAGGCTATGATCTGACTAAATTAGTTATTTCATGATATCAAATTTTAACTAGATAAAATAGGTGTGAATTTTTCATTTTTCTGTCCTGCTACTTTATGCAACCTTATGCTCATTTACAAATTTCAGTATTCAAATTATCAAGACATAGAAGTTTAATGCTAGTTCAGTTGAACAAGTATGCAAAAGAGTAGTAGGAAATTAAGTGGCCATACATGAATGACTGAATTAACTTTGGGCTTTTATTGAGATCAAACAAACCCTAAGGTGTAGTATCTAAGAAATTAAATTCACCTGTCAGTATTTTGTTTCAGTACGCACATGGGTTTCTGCTCCCCTACCTGATAATATTATGATATCAGGGTAACAGAGTTATGCCCAATTTTTGTAAAATATTTATTCGCTGTCATACTTCTCAACAGAAATGTCAACGGGGTAAACAGAAATTGCCCCAAACACTCTGTTTTGGACTCAGTTTTGCCATAAGAGTGGGTGTCCATAAACAGCACTATGTGACTCACATAAGACTTCAAGTTCATAAAGAACTCATCCCAGGTTCCTTCCTTTAGGTGAGAACAGTCTAACTCCAACAACAAAAAGTATATAAACACATGGAATCTGAACAATTCAGTATTGAATAGAAAATGGGTTAAGACAGAAATTAAAAAGGAAATAAAAACCTTTTGAGAATGTATTAAAAATGGACACACAAGATAAGTATGGGGCAGCACAAAGGCTGATCTAACAACCAGGCTCACAGCACTAAGTGCCTACAAAAACTTTATTAGGGATTGCATTGCATTTTAGCAAATTAATGGCTCACCTATAAGCTCTAGAATAAAAGGAAAAACAGCACCCAAAGGATATATGGCAAGAAATAATGGAATTCGGGGCTGACATCAGCAAAATGTAAAAAGCACAAAAACACAGTGTAAAGAATCAATGAAAGGAAGATTTGGTTCTATGATGAAATAAAATTTGTGAATCCTTTGTGAAATTAACTAAAATAATAAGGGATGAGGTCCAAATTAATAAAACTTAAGATAAAAAAGGGACATCACAAATGATACTGTGGAGATCCAGAGACAATGTATCAAAACCTCTGGTCTAACAAACTCAAAAGCCAAAAAAATGGATAAATTTCTTGTGATATGCCCCTTACCAAAGTTAAATCATGATTAGTTAAGCAACATAAACATACCTATATCACCTAATGAAATAGAAGTAACAATAATAATTAAAGCCCCGATACACACCAAATAAAAAATATGAAGTTCATATATATTCACCATAGAATTTGACCTAATCTATAAATAAATTATTTCATGATTTGTCAAAAGATTCTGCTAAATACTAACTGAAAAAAGCACTACCTAATCTTTGTCTGAGGTCCCAACTGACCTGATAACTAAAGCTGATACATTGACAGCTAAATTAAAAATTACAGAAAAATATCTGTTATACATATAGCTGCACATAATATTAATAAAACTCTTGCAAAACTAACCCAGCAAAACCTCAAGAAGATCATTCACCATATCAAAGCAGGCTTCATTGCGACTCAGGGATGATTCAACATATACAAATCAGTAAATGTAATCTACCACATATACAGACTCAAAGACAAAAATCACATGATCATCTCATCAAAGGTAGAACAGGTTCTTGACAAAATTCAACACTCATTAATGATAAAATTCCTGTAAAATCTAGGGACACAAGTCCATTTTTGGGACCAGTAGAAGAAAATAAAATGCATTTGAATGGTGTATGACTCCACAAAGACACATTTTTCTGAAAGATTCAGTTCATACAACATCCCATAAAGAACAATGATGAGGTGATGGAGTAATGAGCTGAATTAACTAAAAGCACAGCTGTGTTATATCTGAACTGAAGCGCAGAGTCCTCTGGGAGAGTAGAAAGGGAACATTGAAGACCAGGTGGTCTAGTAATCTTGTCTCCATTTTCCTCCTGGTTATCCCTTAAACATACATCTCATGGATGTAATAATCAAGAAATCTAACCAAGGTTCTGACTATAATATAGAAAGACTCAGGAGTGCCCTTGAGCTTCCTGAACATGTGATTTCAGTGACTTTGTCAGGCTACTTTATGTACTCATAGCTGTCAGTTTGCATTTTATTAAAATAACACAAGGCTAACAGTGATGTTTTGAGGATATGCGTCCCTTGAGAACATACATATAGAGAGAATTTCAAGGAGACAGCAAGAAAAAGTGAATCTCAGACAACTGAGAATATATCTACATTATCTCCTAGACGGTCTGTGATCTATTTATGCTGTGCACCCCCTGGTGGTCATGAATGGCCTTAGGGTGAAGTTTATGTCTGGGTTCACACTTAAGTCTCATCATTGTGTAGCTAGCACAGTAATAGGTGGCTGTGTCCTCAGACTTCAGACTGTTCATTTGCAGGTACAGAGCATTCTTGGCATTGTCTCTGAAGATGGAGAATCGGCCCCTCACTGAAGGCACATACCTTGTGGAACTGCTGTCTCCATTAATGTCTGCAACCCACTCCAGCCCCTTCCTTGGAGCTTGGCGAACCCATTTCATCCAGTCTCTAGTAAAACTGAAACCAGAGGCTACACAGGAGATTCTCAGGGATGTTCCAGGCTGTACCAGGCCACCCCCAGAATACACTAGGTGATCCTTGCACTGGACACCTACAAATGAAGAGAATCCTGTCAATAAATTTCCATACAATCTACATCGAGATCATATCCACTCACACACTCATTATCTCATAACTATATAATACCTTTAAAAAGAGCAATGAGGAAAACACAAATCAACCACAAATCCATGTTGTGTACTGTGTTCAGTCCTGATCACTTAATATGAAGACCTAGGAATGCAGGGTTGGTCTCCTTTATCTGAGATTCAGGGTCCGTGTTGGACTGGTTTTCATGAGAAGAGAGTGGCCTTATTTGCATGACTTCCTGGCATATAACACGTTTTGTAGATGGCATTGAAAGGTAGCATACATGTCACAGTATATTTGTAAATTGCTGAGGAAGTCTGGCAATAAAGACAATAGTAGGAGATTTTTGTATCATCCTAAGTTGGGTTTTTTGGTACATACTAAATATCATCTAATTCATTTAGTATTCACAAACAAATAATGCACTTGAGGGTTAATTTCAATCAAGTTTTTCATGTCTTGTGTTATAGATGTCAGTGGGCATTGCTCTCCTACATGCTCTGGAGCTATGTTTCACTATGTTGACTTCAGCCCTGATGCACTTGGCAATACCTGCATCAACTCCAGCATTGAGTGTAGCTGACTTCTGAGGTTGGGAACTCCCTTTTTGTATTTAGATTGTGTGGCATGACCATTCCAGTGTTCATGTAGGAAACTGGAGAGGCCACTTCCAGACTTACATGTATCTGGGAGTATGAAATTCTTGCATTTTTGCCTGTTTCATGTCTCCTTTCCTAGCACATCTACCTCTTTATTCATTAGAAACAGAAAGTGACTGAGGAGCTGAACTCCAGTGTACAGTTCAGCATTTGAATTTTACATGTCATATGTGTAGCAGCTCAGGACTCACAGAAGGATGGTTTCACTGTCAACATCCCTTCCCTTGATCTTTCTACTCAATCTCTTCATGGCCCATCTCAGGATGTTACCTTTCCTGATCTAACCTAGAATCCCTAAACTTGTTTCTCACTCTCTAGATGTCATGGAAATAGGCATTAAGAATTAACTTCTGTCTGCCATCTCTCTCAGCACAACACATTGTGGATGACACAAGGTTGATTTGTGTCCAGGCTTTATGGATTTATTGGTGACTGACATGCTGACATGACAATTTAGGGAAAGGTTTTTATCTGTTAAATTATTTGTTCAGCAACAATGTGCTCCATTTTCAGGAACTGAGATAAACCAGCTGAGTTGTGCGATATCATCACCAGAGGTCAGAGTTTGGTTCACTCTTTAGGAACACAAGCAAGGCAGAATTGACTGCAGGTCTGTCCACATAATTCTGCACATGGATGGAAACCGAAGAGTGACAGTGATATTACGAAAGTTTGGCTTAGAAAATTAAGATCTTCCAAGGTTCTTTGTGAATGTTTGTGAATACAAATTAGACCCAGAATGCTGAGAAAATTTCAATTAAAAACCATATCTAATTTACAGTCTCCAGATCTGATTCCCAGTCACTTTTATTCTATGTGATTTCTCCAGAATATGTAGGGTTTAGGTGACACTTCCATAGTTGAAACAACAGATATTACCCTTCTTAATTCCAAAGTTAGATGCGGAGTGTGGGACAAAATTAAATGTCAGCACAGGTACAGGTTCTGTGTTGTGGTTTCATTCCTGTTTCTGGGACAAAATATGGTTTCAAAAAAACTTCATATATCTATCATATAATTCCTTTATATACCATGAACTTAAGAGAATTAAGGGTAGTAACATGAGAAGCGAGTCACATCCTTAGGCAAGAGGAGAGAAAGAAGGAGAATGAATATGTGTACATACTCTTATAATTGGCCTCTCTCTAAATTTACAAGGTGTAGGTCCCCAAGCACAGGAAATGATGTTTCGCAGTTAAGGTTGTACTTCTCACATCAATTAAAATAACCAATACATTCCCCCACAGCACAAACTGATGTGTGGTACTATCATTATTATTCAAGTTGATAATTTGGGATATTATCTACTGTGACAAGAGTTTGACACCTGGGAACAGTATTGAAAGTCAAGAATGCTAGGAATTCAAGGTCAGGGAATACGGTGAATGTCTGAAACTTTTCCTCATTTCACAAAAAAGAAATTTTACCTAGGATTTAATTTACATAGCAATTCAAAGGTGATCTTGGTCATATCATGTGATTTACATTACAATCAATATGTAATCATATTACAGCCAAAAACATTTACTAAATTATGTTAGAAACACATGGTCATATAAACATCAAGAGGGGATGTACAAGTAATCTTTAACTGGGAGTACTACAAGCTGTACATTTTTGAAGAATGAGGAGAAATTTCCAATAGACTGAGAAAGAATTCAAAGTACTTTTGTTCTTTTCCTTGATGATTTTACCACTAATTTTAAACTAGTACTCAACCTAGGTGTCCCTGTTATCTTAGATCATAGAAGCTTGCTGTTTCCTCAGGTTTTCTGACACACTCAGGATGTGTGTTGTCTCACGTTTTCTTGCACAGTAATGGAGTGACCAGAGTCCTCAGATATCAGGCAGCTGAACTCCATGTAGGCTGTGCTGAAAAACGGGTCCCAGGTCATGAAGACCTCTTCTTGGCATTTCTGTATATAACCTATCCTAGAACTTCTAGGGTTCATTCAGCCTGTCCGCTCCAGGCACTGCCAGTCCTCTGTGTCACACAGTTAATATAGTCCCTGGTACAGGTGTAGGAAAAGGCCCTGCAGGATACATTTTCTGAAGCCCTAGACCTCCTCAGATTAATCCCATATTGCTGCAGCTGGACTTGGGATAGAAACCGGTAAAAAGTAGGCAAATTGATCACAGTGTCACCTGAATAATTAGCCCATCTTCAAGGCTTGTGTTTGGAGCCCCTTACCTGCAGTCACTGCCACTATGAAGATGTTCTAGTACCAGCCCATAAATGGGACCTATCACTAAGGGATAATGGAGAAAAAGGTTGTCATGGGGTGCTGTAATATAGAATAGTCCTGTATTTAACAGCACATATTCAGGTTATATGCAAACTCATGAGACAGAGAGTTGTTCTTATAAAGGCCTGATCCAACTTAAGCAAGACAAAGAAGACACTATGGTCAGACAGAATAAAGAGGAATGAGTCTTAATCCTCTCTGAGACAATGTATCCCATATTCCTTCCCTGAGTGTATTTCAGAGAAGTTTTTTTTCAATGGATGTATGTCCTCATATCATTGTGTCTCAGAAAAACTCACATTCAATAATCTATGGGCCTCCTCAGGGTAAAAGCCACCTGTGGTTTTGCGAAGGTTTATTCAGCCCACCCTGGACCAATGGGTCATCAATAAAGAGCACAAGAGCCAGTTGTTGAATTCAGATCAGTTTCCAACAAGGCCCATCTGACATCTCTGATATTAACTGACCACTCCTGAGATGCTTTTCCTGTATGACTCTCAGAATAATTCGTCTCATGCTATTGCATAGAGGGATCCTTGTTAACAGCCCCCAACTCTGGTAAGTGACCAGAAGATGGAAATAACGCTATCTGAAACAGAGGACTAATACTTTTATTCAATTTACTTACAAGATGAACAGGAATTGAAGCTCTGGGAACATTGCTAGCTTCCAAGAGAAACTACTTTTTCTTTTGCTTCATTTTATTCTCACCTATGCCCATGCCCTGTCCACACTCTTTTGGGTGTGGACAATATTGTGGGCTTACACATACAGTGACCCATTTGTGGGTTTCTCCCCCACAAACAACAAGAGCCAACAGAGTTCTTACTAAACTTATTTTTCCAGTGAATTGTCTGGAAATTTGTTTCCTGGATCTTTGTTTCACAGTCCCTTAAGTGATGAGTATACTAGTCAGATTTTATCATCATTATCTCTGGTACTGATTCCATGGTGTCCATACCTCCCAAACTATGAGCCACCATCATTCTGCTTACTCTCATCTTAGGAATTGCACCAAGACAAATGTTGAATACCTCAAAAGAAGTATCACATTCTGTGTCACATTGTACATGTAGAATGCATTCCTGTTATATCACCTCTTACATCCAAGGTACTCATATGCATGGAAAATCTTATAACCTGTGTCTTCATTGACTACTATGTTGGATAAACATTTATAAAGATGATGGCTTATTTTAGCCGTCAATTTGAAATACCTAGCAAAAATGGAACTTCAACTGAAGAATTGCTTCTAATGGACTGTCCTGTATCCCTTCAGTTAAGCATGCTCTTTAGTGGTAAATAATATAAGGAGATCAAACATATTGTGAGTGGTACCATCACAGGGTAGGTGGGCTTAGCCAATATATTAAAGCAATCTGTGTAGGCCAGTGAGCTGTGTGCTTTTTTATCTTGCTTTAGTCCTTGTCTTCACATCCCTGTCTTGGATTCTCAGGATGATGGACTGTAACTTGCAAGATGAAAAAACCTTGTCTTCACTTGGTTTTCTTTGGTTATGGTGGTTATTACAATAACAGGACAAAACTGGAACAATAACCAGTTATAAATTTTATCTATCATCAAGGGCTCAACATGCTACCTATATAACCTGAAGGAAGAAAGATGGTTCAGGCACTGAGGAGGGGACCCTCTGCTGGCTAATATTTTGTGAAACTGAGAAAAATCTACAGCCATCTGATATGAAAAAATTTCAATTGAGAAAATTCTTCTATAAGATCTGTCTATAAAAAATATCATTGTGCATTTTATTGCTTAAAGACTGAACTGGGAGAGCCAATCCCATTGTGAATAGTGTTTCCTGTCACATATTTTCCAGGGGCTTCTAAGAAATGAGGTTATGCAAGCGCTGGGAAATAAGCCAGTAGGTAGCACACCTGCATTGCTTCTCTGCTTTAGTTCCCACCATGAGTTCCTTCCCTGACTTCACTCTGTAATGGAGTGTAATGTGAAAGCTGGAATTTGAAATGATTCTTTTTCTTCCTGAGTAGGTTTTATTCATGGCTTTTTCCCATAACAAGGAAAATGTAAGAAAACTAAAAATTCAGCATGGTATTGGAATAAAAACAGATATGTTGATCAGTGGGATTAAACTGAAGATCCTTACATAAATCCAAAACATAGAGACATTTAATGTTTTGGAATGAAGGCAAATGTAAAACTTGAAAAAATATAGGCAGTGTCTTCAACAAATGGTGTTGTCAAATTGGTTGGATGCATGGGGAAGAATCCCAATATATCCAT